CTATTTTCTCAGAGCCATAAAACTGTCCATGTTAATACTCCTGTAGCATTTATTTATGCTTTAGCATTCATCTGGGATAAAAATTACCTTTCTAAATAGTCTGGTACATAACTTTGCTTTTCAGATTTGTTCCCAGCTGAGTGAGCGACTGGAAAAGCAACAAACAGCAAATAAGGCTGAAATTGAAAAAATACGGGTAAGAGAACAGATAGGATCAGTCTACAACATTTAAATCTCTTAGCAAAATCATAACAGAAAGCACATAATTAGTCATCGCAAAAATGATGGTTGAAAGAGCATTCCTTCATGACTTACAGTTTTGGAAAGATTGTAGGAGGGATGGCTGGTGTTCATCTCTCCCTTGTTATATTGCCTACATTCTCATGCTAGGCAGTAATATGTTTTAATTGTTCTGAGGGGGTCTCATTTTCTTCTGGAGGAGATTTTTTTGGCTGTCTTTTACACAGCCCGTTATCTGAGCCAGGCAGTCTTACCAAAAGTACAGCAGTGTTTCTAGAGTCCACAGACCTGGGGGTGGCCGGAGCTCCTGCATGGCTGTGCTCCCTGGCAGTTCAGAGTTTGCAGATCATTAGCAGTCCCTCTCACATGGTGCTGTGCTGCCAGAGCAGAGGCACGGAAAGGCTGTGCTCAGCACTCTGGTACAGGCATTCACAATCAGGTATTTACTCCAGCAAAAAGTGGATGACTGCGAACACTGCCGGGAGTTCTTCAATAAAGAAGGCCGTGTGAAGGTTGCAAGCTCAGCCAAGGATGGTTCGGATGATGACACGGACGAGGAGAAGGAAACGCTGAAAAACCAGCTGAGGGAGATGGAGCTTGAGCTGGCCCAGACCAAACTGCAGCTTGTGGAAGCAGAATGTAAAATACAGGTAATACTTTGGGGTTCATTCTACAGTGTATGTGGTGTGTCTGCATCCCTAGAAAAGTGTGTTTGTTTTAGAGAGTTTGGAACAGATCCTGTTGGTTGAAACTGTAACTTGCTGTTTCCTGTCTGACTTACTTAACCATCCCTGGGTCTGAAACTTAGTGTATGCAGATAAAATAATTCAAATTACATGAACTGTATTTACCAACCAGCTCCTTACAGCTTCCAGACATCTGCGTGGCTGCAGTGCAGAACTTACTGATATTCTGCAACTTCCTGGAAGAAATCCAAATTCTGACAAAGGACTGAATCATGCAGTTCTTTATCTCACAATCAACATTAAACGAACAGCTAACATGTGACAAATGTTAGACATGTTTCTTAAAACATGACTGGAAAGCACTCCAGGTACTTGAGGTATTTATGGAAAATATGACAATGTTGTTCTTGTAGCCCAAAAATGCAATGTCAGTGCTTCTCCCCAGAAAAGTTAGTTTGGAGGAAGTCCACTTCCTTTGGGAATACCTCCTTCTCAGATAGGAAAGAATTAAAGACCTTGCATGTACTAAAGGAAGCTGAATGTTTCACTGAGGGCAATGACACAGGCTTGCTTTGGAGTTTGAAGCTTTTTTCTACTTTTTTCTTTCATCGCCTGTTGTGCTCCTTTCAATTTAAGACTCACTTCTGTGATAGCAAAGAAATTGTAGATGTCCTACAGCCTTCTTAGTTCAACTCCTGTTGTGCTGTGAATACATACCAAGTTATAGAAATCACTCTTCTGTTTGCAGGATTTGGAACACCATTTGGGTCTGGCATTGAATGAAGTACAAGCTGCAAAGAAAACATGGTTCAACAGAACAATAAGCTCTATAAAGACAGTGACTGGAGTCCAAGGGAAAGAGACTTGTTGAAATGCAGTTCTGTCAAACACACCTTCTTAACACAACACCTTTTGTTGCCTTCCTTGGCCAGATGTTTAATTCTGTGACACGAGAGGACCAGAATGTAAATACAATAGAAATACAGCATGTCGGGATTTCAATAGGTCAGTGATAAAAAGGATGGAAACACAAAAATGGCTTTATTGCTAGACATGGGATCTTCATACTACTGATATTTAACAGGTGATGTAGCTAGATTGAAGCTCTTCAGAGAAACACTCCATTCTGCGGTCTGGCTGGAGGCTTTTCACAGACTAGGTACGAGAACTTACCAAACCCTAATTGTTAAGTTTACATACGATAGGTTTTTTTACAGTTATAACCTTTTTTAATATTTTATTTGAAAGGAAAAGTGTCACTAAAGGAATTATAAAAAAAAAAAAGAGGAAAAAAAAAAAAGAAAAACAAAGCAAAAAAAGAAGAAAAAAAAGACAACTACCAAGAACTACATCAGTGCCAGAAAGCAGTCCCCAGAGGTAGGATATAGAGAGTAGGAGGAGAAGTTTTGTGTTTGAATGGGGATGATTTCAGCATTCCTGTCAGCGCAGCCCCACTTTGTTTCAGTTAGACGCAGCATCCATCTCTGTGTTTGGCATTTCTTTCTGTTACTAATCAATTCTATGCAACTCTGAGCTTTTTTTTTTTTTTTTTTTTGTATTTGCCAAACAAATTTGCAACCTGAGGTTCAGGGCCTTGGCTGAATGCTAGACGAGAATAATCAGAATTCTTGGCGAAGTTCTGCTTCACTTCTGTGTCATATTGTTTGATCCACATATCAACAGCGTTAAAATCCCCAGCTAACAAGGACTGCTCATGTGGATGGTCTGACATTTAATTGAGTCTTTTTGTTTGTTTTTTGTCACTTTTTTTTTTGTTCTGTTCTTCCGTTGTTTTTACCCGCCTGTAGCAGGCCTTCTGTGAAGCTCTGAGAAAGCTTCCAGGATTTAGTTTTGCACATAGGTATGAATGGGACAAAGAAACAATAAACTGAGATATATATGAGGCAAAAATCACTGCGTGAGTGTAGCTGCGAGCATCTATAGCTGTCCAACTGGCTTCCCTGGTAACGCGTTCAGAGGTTGTGTAGGTCATTTTCCATGCTCGATGCAGTTGCACTAATAGGTGCTAAACATGCTTGGATTGCTTATTCTTTGGATTGTCTGAGTTCTCACCAGAAAGCTGTAGAATGGAGTTTTGCACCTTGTATTTTTTTTTTTTTTTTTTTAATTTATAATGGTTTGTGTTATGCTGAAGTATCTATTGCATCAGTGGATAAATTTCGTGTGCAGTGTGAGTATAAGCTGGTAACAATAAGAGGCACTGGTTTGTATATAAAGATATTTGGTTTATTTTGTATTTCTACCTTTTTCTTGTTTACTGTACTAATGCTAGCTAATGTACTCTGTAACTACAGAATAGAACATGCTATGTCCAAGCTTTTTTTCCTTAACTGCATACATTATCTCTATTGTTTAATACCAAAAACAAAACAAAACTTGTAACTCCATCAATATGAAATGCGTGGACATTGTGGTAGCATAGTTGCAGTGTGTATACTTTATGAATTGAAATATAAACAAGTAAAATTGTATAACTACTTCCTTGTTTCATTTCATTTTAACAAATCCATTAAATATTTTGCAATACAAAACCAATTCTCTTCCTAAAATAGAAGCGTTAGGATCTGCAAGCTTCTGTCAGACCAAAACTATATTTGTGCTGCAAAGGACTTTGCTAAAAAAGACTTCATATTCTTGGTGTTGCCAACATTGCTTTATATAATAAAATGTAGGTTTTGCTTTGAAAAAAGAAACTGCTAAAATGACCTTGTGCAGCTTGAGGCTTGTGACTCAGTATTTCTCAAATATGTCCAATTTAGAACATTTTTTTCCATGACCCTCCAAATTCCGCTTGGATCCGCAAAATAAACGCAGCCTAGCTCTACTTATCATCATCAGTAACATAGATTCTGTGGGGTGAAGTGTCATTCACGTCATCTTCACTAGAAGCTTGTAGTCACAGCTGAACTGGGTTTAGCTGTGCAACTGGATGAATGCACTAATTGGGTCACAGTGCAGATCAGGCTCCCCCAACTGTGTGTGTTCTGCAAAGAGATAACAAGGAGTAAAAATGTATTTTTGTCACCAAAGTGACTAAAGGTGACTCTGAAAGCAGCCTTACTCTGGGAGGCTGTTATCATGCTGTCATTTTTCTACCCATACTTTTCCTGTAAGAGAATGGCATTATAAGGTTTTGTGTCGTTTTTACTGCTTTGTCTTTCACAGACTGGTGCACCTTGGTAATTCCAGCTCTGCAGTTTCTCAATAATCACAACTTCTGGAGAAAGTTTGAAGGTGAATAAAGGCAAGATGGGAGGGGGAGAAGCAACCAAAGCAGTTCATTTGTCCATTTGTCTTTCCCAAAGGGAGTGGGAAATTGTGTGTGCTTTCCACTTTGCCCCAGAACCGTGCTGCTTAAAAGAAGGAAAAGTTGCTTTGTTCCACTAAGTAAACATTGCCTCAAAACTGTGCGCTGCGTATAGTCATCATTTCAGTGTGGTGGTGGAACAAACATAACAAAAAGCTTTATAACATTTTCTAAGAAATATTTTGTAGTCAGTTTCCAGTTGTGGATTATTTTAGATATCTTTCTGAAAGACATTACTCATAAATAAATATTACCAGCATAGTTCAACTCTGACTCCATCTAAGGTATCTGCAACTAAGAAAAACAGATCGTCTGCTGAGAGGCATGTCTTTTGAAGCTCAATTACCCGTGAAATATAAGGAAGCAGATCATTTTTAAGATGAGAAAGATGAATTTACAGGTACTCAAGCCTTTGAATGAGCAAGGTGGGAAAAAAAAACAACACAAATCACATTGACTCAAAGTTGCTATAGGCAGGAGTATATCACAGATCTGTAAGCAAAGAAGAATGAGTTTGTTAGCATTTTTTGCTGTAATAAGATGTTATCTCCTGTACTTAATTATCTCTCTGTTCACATATGCTCTCAGCTGGTTTTGTGCAGTGAACCCCAAATGAATGCCACACTGCCTGCTGAAGCTTATATATCTTTCTGAAGAGCCTGGTGTGCTCTGGGCTGCTGCTTGCGAATGCTTTGTGCTGGATCGCTGAGGTCCCGGGCTCTCTGGCACTGATCCTCTATGGTTACAATCTCCTTTTAGTTTCTGAGATTTTCCTTCTTGGTTGTGCAGGGTCTTCGGATGGAAGCGAATGTTCCAGCTCTATCAAAAACTTCACCTTTAAGTGTTGCTGGTAAGCCTTCCTGCAATTTATGTAACCACCTCCTTGACTTTTTTTAGCTGCCCTTCTTATCCGTGGCAGTAATATAAAGTTCCTGCTATCAAGAGGAGGATTTTGTTCCATCTGTTCAGCAGTTTGGCTCACACTCATCCAGCCTAACTTTAGACACTTCAGAAGGGGCCTTTCTGGAGGGCTTAATGGGATGGCATGGCTCGGTGTGCTGAGGGCATAGGGCTGTGCTGGGCTGTGCCTGAGCGAGGGGAGTAACATGCACTGCCTGCCTGGAGGTCCTTAAATGAAATAATAAAATGAGGCATCAGTTTACACAGCAAGGATTGTTTTCTGGTTTAGATTGCCCTCCTTTTTCACTGTGCAGTACTGTCTTCATTACCCAAGACCCCCGAAGATTCTGCATACAAAACCCTTTAGGATTTTACCAGATTTTACAGCTATGTGTCCATGCTGAGTTGGAGGAATGAGGATTTGGTTTTGCTGCCTTTCTGCATGCTAATGAAACAAAGCACTAATCGTGTGCTCCTGCACTCCAGGTTTTGTGAGGGCACGCGGCTGCAGCCCGTTCACAGCGCTGGGGACACGCGCACTGTGCGAGCAATGCGCGACTGCTGCTAAGGGAGCGTGGAGTATTTGCTGCCTGGCTAGGCGTAATGTTGACAGTCGAGGGTTTTCTTGCAGTGGCGCTGGGTCTTGCAGAAGACAAGATAAACAGAACTGAACCGACTTAAAGATTTCACACACGGCAGACTTCTGTGATCAAGTGACTTATGGAGGGACTGCGAGGGCCCCAGCCTCTACGCTGCCACGCGGGAACGGCATGGCGCTTCGCTTCCGCCCAAGGAGCGGGGGCGGTGCCCGCGCGTCGCACAGCGCTTTCTGATAGGTCGATGCGCTGATTGGCGGCAGAAGCAGCCAGTGAGAGGCAGTGGCTCGTGGCGAAGCGTCGGCTATGGAACACTCTGACGGCGCCATGTTGTTAGCAGGAGGCTATGCGGTGAGCCGAGGGGCTGCGAAGGAGGGCGGCAGGCCGGGAAGCAGCTGGGTCCGCACTGTGGGAGGGTGGAGCTGAGGGTTGGTGCAATGAAGGGCGGTGCACTGCTAGGAGTTGCTGGGCCAGCCCGGGAGCTGAGGTGAGCGGCGGCCTTTGAGCGCGTTTGTTGTGCCCGCGAGTCTCATCCCCAAATGGCGCCGGTGGTGGCCGTGGAGCCCCTCAGCAGGCAGCGCTCCGTGACCTTCCCTGTCATTGCGGCGCTAAGTGCTGGTGAACGGAGAGCACCGGTGTGTGGGAAAACAGCAGAGGCTTGCAAGAAGGTATTAGTTGCTGCGGAGTGAAGTACCTTCTATCCAGAATATCTATACTTCTGTCTTAACTGGTTTTCACATTGCTTTGTCCTTGTGCCTGCTCTCTGCAGACAGTGCTTTGGGCCCTTAGGCCTGAGGAAGGTGGTGGGCCCCACTCCGGCTGCTGGGAGCCGTGGTTGTGCCACCATGTCGGGTAGGGTCAGGTTTGCTCCTTTCTTGCACGAGCTGAGAGGTGAAATGAGGAGTGGAAAGCTTGGCAATAGGATGTGAGAACTGATGAAGCACCGTGCACACAAACTGCTTGATTTGCAGTGTGATGGATGGCTGCCTGCACGGGGAGACCTGCACAAGGAGGGGCAGCGCCAGCACTCCTGGCGCCTCCTCCCTGGTAGAGGTTCTGCTGTGCCAGCTGTGTTCTGTTGTAAAGGAGGCTGGAATCATGAAAAATGCACTCCTGTTGGTCTTGGAATTGTTGACATAATGTTTGTATGGACAAAGCTGTTTCTGTGCAGAAGCTAATTTTATATAGAAAGAAAATTTGTAGCCTGTGTGTTTATCACCTAATGCATAAGAATGCATTATACGTGGGGTGAAAACTACTGTAAATAGAAGTTCTCTGATTTCTAACCTGGAGGTAATGGGAGGAGAATGTGATTTATCAGATCTCCTCTTGAGAACCGCAGCAGAGTGCTAACCAATTCTGTGAAATTATTTTTGTTTTTAATGGAGCAATTATATCACGAGATTTGCCCCAAATTGGCATAGATTAAATGACTGCAGATGGTTCTGTAGAAATCCTGGACCATGCAAGACTTCTAAAGAGCAACGTTAAATAACAAGATTTGTAACAGAAATAAGCTTTGTAAAATTATCGTTTAATGCTAAATTAAAAGTTCTCCATACTTGCAGGGAGCTACAATCTGTTTTTACAGAATTCAGCAATTAAGCAATTCGGGCAGTGAACGGATCTGTCAGGATGCCAAACAGCATCCAGCCAGAGATGCAGATTTCAAGGTAATGCTTCTGCTTGTGCTGCTTTATCCTTACAGCACATGTTATCGAGTCATATTAATTCTGCGTACATCAGAGAAGAAGTAAAGAAGGAAAATTAAAGCTCAGGTACTTACGCTGTACTTATTTTTTTTTTTTTGTTTCCCTTAGAACACTCAGATCTGCGCTGAGTTTTGTTTCTCTAATGATTAACTCCACAAGTCCTAAGCCTTAAGCGTTACTGAAAAGCACGCTCTGTGATGAACGTGTTTTCTATCTTAAACTGTTCAGGGTGCAGATTTACAGTGTGATAGAACGGATGTAATGATTAGACTGCACCAAAAGGTCCTTCTCACCTGCTCGTTCCTGCTGGCATTCTGGTGACAACACTTGCACCAGGCATACCAATGCTAGCGTAAGAGAGGGGATGAAATTACAGCCTGCCTGATGATGAGTTGTTATGGAATCAAATCCTCAGTCTGCAGCAGCAGAGACAGAGTTTTTATGTGTGCTTAGGCTCTTCTCATTCCAGTTGGATTAATGCAAGCATCTTAAAATGATTTTGCAGTTAAGACGTTGTGGAGAACTATTCTTGCAAGACTTCTTTTTGCTGTAGTTAAGGCTCTTCTGTGAACTACTTAAACTGTAATGTGCCAGGAGCTTGATGTTCTGTAAGTAGGTGATCCAGAAAAGGTGCTGGCAGGTCTTAGCACAAATGCTAGGAGATGTGCTGCTAGGAGACGGGAGTACCATAGGCTCTGTCCTAAAAAGCACTCTGAGCTAGATGTACCCTACTCGTGACAATGCTTCACTCTGAACCAAACGCGGGTTCTAGATACGCTTTGTTATTATGTGTGCATGGTTTTCCCTTTCATTGGGGTGGAAGAAAGAGGAGCATATCCTGGTGTTCTGGATAGATATTCTCTTTCAGATGCAGATGCCAGCATCAGAGCATTTTGCTCTCAAATACAAGTTGTTGTAGGCTATTAGAATAATGACTTCATCGATGTGCTAGCAGTTGGTTCTTTCGAAATGAATAGGGGTTAGTTCAGACCAGCTCTAAAAATGAGTAACATCTGCTTCACTGATGTTGCTTGGTCCAGGCTGGGCAGTGCTTCGAGGAGCTGTGCTACTGGCGAGGCCGTGGCTGCCATAGGCTGTGGGAGGGGATCAGGGGCAGAGCTGCCACAGGCAAGAACCAACTGCACTGGTACAGCTGGGCCAGGAAGATGTGTTGGTGCTGGAAAATGGCTTTCAGCATGCAGACCCTTCTCAGTAAGTTTTATAGACATTGCTTATTTGAATGAACTGTTGAAATCGTTAAGCCTGGAGATTTCTGAGGAATCTGAGGATACTAGATGCCCAGCGTTAGCAAAGACCTCTCATTTCCTTTTAGTAAATCCAACTGCAGTCTGTGAAGTACATGAAGCAGCTAGCAGAGTAAGATGCTCCATGTTTTTCTCCTGTGGGCTTTTGTTCTGGAAGTTGTGTTATGCCCTTGTATGAAAAGATCTGAAAGGACAAAACAAAATCAGACTGAAGTATATATGAAATCAATCTGCGGGATGTATTTGTAGTACAGCTTGAACTTGGCTTAGAGTACTGATATGTTTTTCTGTTATTCTCTTGCTTTAATAATGCTGCTTGAGATAGGCATACCAAACTACAGCAGAAGTGTATCATGGTGATTTTTTTTCAGAATATGATTTAAAAAAAAACTTTAAATTTTGCTTATTTAAAAAATTAGGGCAAAGTATTTTTTTTTAATCGCTTTTACTGGTAAGTTACAGTTGCTGTGATGTGGCCAAAAATTGTTTGCTTTACCATGATCCTGCAGTATGGGCCTTCTGCGTGCAGAGGAGCCCTGTACATGACTGTTTCCAGAGGTGTAACAATTCAGAGTACAGTTTGCTTTACAGAAATGAACACACTGTTTTTGTTCTGACGTTGCAAACATCTTCCTCGATCGACAGCTTGTATGGCAAATGTATTTCAGAAAGGTTCTATAGTGCTTCAGATAGAATCGCAGCCACTGTGGACTCACAGATGCCAGAAGGTGCAGAAGTGATGAGATTTGCAGGCTGCCAGATAGGAAGCAGAAGCCCTCATCATGCAGAGTGTACAGTTGGTGTAAAAGTATGAATACATCAAAGCAATGTGTTTAAACTCCCTGCTGTGAGCATCTGTTAATGCATAGAGTTGTCTGTGATCCAGCATAGAGCTGTGTTAATAGATGAACTTTGGGAGGTGACACTGTAGTGACTCTGATGAGATTTTCTAATCTGTGAGGCCAGTTTATCCGATAGAATAGGGATAGAAATAGGATAGAAAGGAATAGGAGAAAAAAATTGTGCCGTTTTAAATCAAATTCTGTGCATGAGGAAAAAAGTAGTAAAATACTGAGACTGAGAGCTGTGTCGCTATCAGCTTTCACAGTGTGACCAAAGTGTGTGTTTTGTTTTGTTTTTTTTTTTAATCAATCCTTTTAGAAAACTGTAGAAAACCATTGTGGTTTTGGCACAGTTCTTGGCTGACAAGAAAGGGAAGTGAATTAATGCCTTCTGTGCCCTGAAGGCCTGTGTTAGTTTAAAGAAGTGGTTTTAAAGTAATTTAATAATGATGCACCAGAGCAAATGGATGGGAAGGAGGAGGAGGAAGGCTGGCTGCTTACAGTGTACATCTGAGTTCTCTGCCTACCCAGGACA